GAAAATCCAATTTATCATAAAAGAAGTAAGTATATTGATGTATGATGTCATTTTTTTGAAAGACCTAATATCTGACACAATAATTAATGTAAAATATATGCCTACTGATGTTATTCCAGCTAACGTGTTGACTGGTAAAGGTCTAATTGCTAAAAATATTGCATAGATTATTGAAACTGTTTGGTATAGGTAACCTATAAATTTTGTTTTATTCATAAATGGGGGTGTTAAAATATTGATATTAACTAAAAAATTTTAAATATTAGCACAATATATCATTTAGAGGAAGTTAAGATTTGTACAATGTAAACTGTCAATTATTGTATTCACTTTTAGAACAAAATAAAGTGAATCTTAACTAACTGGTTTCTCAACCGTTTTAACATTTTCTACTTGGATTTTCAGTTAAAAATTGCCGCCCATAAACAGCATTATAAGGGAGTGCAATATAATTCAAAATAATAGCAACATAGATATCTTTAACACCAACACCATTAAATTTAGCTTTCTACCTGCTTCGACCTCTATATCATAGTGTGTATGTCTAGTATAGATACGTGAATGTTTTATAATTCCTACTTTTTTTATTCTCTAAAATACGTTTGTTCTAAAATATAGATAAATAGTTTACTATTTATGTTGGGAACAAGCCACAATTCACTTTAAAATAAGTTTATTTAATATTTCGAATTCCACTTCGAAGATCGTTAAAATCATTATTAAATGTTGAAGTTGTATGTAAAATTAATAAAACATTAATCGAAGCCACGAGATATGTTATTATATGTTTAAATATTTACTTAAAAATGTAATTTATGTTAAGCAATTTAATTTTGGTTTAAAGAAATATTGAAAAACATGCAACAAAGCCAAATATCAGCTGTTACTATCTTAGTATCAAAGAGTATGCGCATGCGTCTATCCATTTTCATTACGGAACACTACACAGATGGTATTAGGGTAGGGGTAGTGTTCCGAAATGAGGTTGAGAACGATGAGCTGAAATCAGCTGTGCGTACAGCGTTGCTCGTCTTTCAAGATTTCTTTAAACTTAAAGATTAAAAACTAAACTAAAACTAAAATTACATTTTTAAGCAAATATTATATAATAGTAGGTATATCTCGATGGCTTCCATTATTGTTTTATTCATTTTACATACAACTTAAACATTAATTAATGATTTTAATGTTTGTTAAATATATTTACGTACATGCTATCAAAAACGTGACCTTGATCTCATATAATACCTAGTATAGTATTATGATAAGAATATTGTTTTGAAGCTATTTTCTTGTGGCATATGAATGTAATTTACTATTTTTGTTGGGAATAAGCCATAATTGTACTTTAAAATAAGTTTATTTCTACTTAGGAAACCATATTTTAAGAACGATGTTCGAAGTGGAAATCAAAACATCAAATAAACTTATTTTAAAGTAAAATTGTATATACTTTACAACAAATTCATTTTACAGAATAAAAACAAGTAGAAATTTTAGATACACATATTTCGAAAAATATATATAGGTACAGATTCACACATATATGTGTATAGGTATATACATATACACATACATAAAGACATCCATATATCTATGCTAGACACACACACACACTATTATATAGAGGTCGAAGATGGTTTAGATAGCTAGATTTATAATGGCTGTGGTGTTGGTGTTGAAGATATCTATGTTGCTATTTTTTAGAATTATGCATCTTCATGCTGTTTATGGGCGAGCAATCTGTCTCACAAATACAAAAGAGCCCTCTATGGCTTAACCTTAAGCCAATCTTAGATACCAAGAACTTAATACAGTCAATGAAGAATAAATAATCTTTAATTTTACTTTATTCACCATAACATATATACAAACAGCATTACATACTTGCATTCTCCGTCTCTGTTCCAGTGTTACAAATTTAAAAGTTTCAAGCAGACTTCTGTAAAGGAGCGGTCTCACAAAACGTGAAGTGTTGTTCTCCATCGGCAAAGAGAAATAGAAAATACGTAATAGAAAAAGACAAAATATAAAGAAGAGAACCAACAGAACATAGAGTACCGTATTTTTTCTCAATATTTGTGGTTTACGAACCCAGTTATAGGGCAAAACTGTCTATTTATTGCTGGCGGATGCTATACCGTTGTTTATCGTTAAATCGATCCAGTTTAAAAAAATCTGAAACTGCGGCACCACATTACCAAACCTAGGGAGGCAGTTAGGAGAAGTACGGTTATTGCCGACATAATTTTACCATAGAGTGGTCCAACGAAGTTGTGTTGGAATTTTTATTAATTTACAAATTTCCCAAATTGATAAAATTTTTCAGAGAGGACAAAAAGGATGATAGAAACAACAGATATGAAAACACTTAAAAAAATTAATGGTAAGACACTATGGGACAGAACTAGAAGTAAAGATATACTACATAGGTGCAAGGTGGAGAACATAAAAAATTGGGTAAAAAATAGAAGAGTATACTTTAACGATCATATAAGCCGAATGACAACAAATAGAGTAGTAAAGACGACAAGAGACGGTTCTCCAATAGGAAGACGATCAGTAGGAAGACCACGAAAACGATGGAATGACAACTTACTGGAGGAACATTGAGAAACAGACAGTCATGTCTATATATAAAAAAGAAAAAGAATAAAATTTTTACCACTAACACTGATATTGTTCTGAAGCTATTTTCTTGTGGCATTTTAAATTAATTACTATTTAACTGGGAATAAGCCACAATTAAAGGTAAAAATACGTTTATTGACGTTTCAATTTCCACTTCGGAAATCTAAATTTTTTTATTATGTGATTTCCGAAGTGGAAATTGAAACGTCAATAAACGTATTTTTACCTTTAATTGTGGCTTATTCCCAGTTAAATAGTAATTAATACCAACACTGATGGCGTACAACAGATTTAATCCTCGATAACGATCATCGGAATGGTCCTACTACTGGACTACTGGAATGGACTACTGTTTAGGATATGTCGATTGCATTTACCAAAAAGTAAATATTTAGTAATTTCACAGTAACGTGGGTGCCAACCGTTGTCTCTTTTCTGATCGCTAATATCGATTTTTTGTTTCTCTTTGCCGAAGCGAAGAGCATCATTCCACGAGCTATCTGATTCCGGCTTAAGACACGCCTGTTATGATATGAATCACAACTGCAGAACCTAACGTAAGAGAATCTAGGGAGACCTTAGCTAATGTGAATTTTCAACTGAAATTCCAAGTAGAAAACAGTCGCAGAACACTTGAATCAGAACATAGTATCTCGCAGGACACTTGATTTCAAGGATCTTGAGTAACTCTTCGCAATTTTCTTAATTACAACTGTTGTGAAATTGTGCATCTAAGTAATATTTTTTACATTTTTCTAATAAAAGAATAAATAAAATGATTGCATAAAAATCGGATTTAAGAATCATAAATTGGATATTTTACAAAAAAAATGAGAGGTAAAAAAACTATCTTTTAGACGCGACAACGGTGTAAATTTGAGAACATGTGTGTTAGCATGCGTATTTGCCACACCTATCAGCCAAGTTATTCCCGTTGGAATATATTAGTATTAATCGCGTCAATATCCAAAACAAAGAAATATATTACAATTTGTATTATCACTAACAACTGTTACACTGTCTAGATATCAACGAATTGTACTATAACCGCTTGCTGTGATTAGAATCTAAGAATGTTTCTGGGTGAAAACTTACAATTCCTCACTTATTTTAAATCGCGCAACACTGCACGACTTGGTGTCTTGTAAAAATTTTACTATTTGGATAAGAAGCCAATATCAGACTGTCCTTGAAAAATTTTCAATAATTAATAAAAAAATACTTAGAACTGACCAATTTCTGGAAATATCTGACCATTGGAGATTAATTTGTGATCTTTCAGGTGATATAATTATATTTCAGAAATACTAGCTGTAACATAGTGAACTAGGAAAACGCGGGAATCTACTGTTCTCCTAGTATTTTTAAAATGTTTATTGCGGCAAGGTACTGCAATCCTGATATTTTTAAAATTTTTAATGGACTGCGCTTGCGTGCTAAGGTGATTGCAACTTTATTAATTATTTTCACCCCTAAAACAACCTGACCAAACTCTCAATATATCTGACCATTTGTCAGCGTTTTAATCTCTATCGAATGCAGTCATTTTTTTTATAGATTTCGTTCAATGAGGTGCCAACATCTTTTTTTGTCCTTGAAAATTTTCAACCCTTAATAAAAAATTAACCAGACCTGACCAAAAGCTGAAACCAACTGACCATTTGTGACCAAAACGTGACCATTCAGACGGTATAATTATTTTTACGAAATTCGATCAATGAGGTGCCAACATCCCATAGCTCAATCTGGCATCGATTATTAGACAGTGATATATTATTTTCATCGTGAGTATCGCCTATTACATAAGAATCTTGTATTATTCAATGACTACTTACTACATGATAAACATTGTTCGTATTACTTATGTTATCCTGATATAACTCCTAAACTGATCTTGCTGTATTACACATTCATTTTATAGCTTTTTACCATGTGACTCTATTAATATTGTTAACCCGGGGGAATGTAAGGATGATATTACGTTCAGTAATGAAATACATCGAAACAATAAAAAGAAACGATTTTAGCGAGAACAATAAATCGCTAGATAAAGTTTACAGTTTTACCTTCATTTATTTTTGATAATATTAAAACATATTAAAATTTTAAAAGATTTTGTTTGTTGTTTGTTAACTTAGAAGACATATATTAAACCTACCAAAACTAATACTGAAAAAAAGATAGAAACCAGAAAAAGACTCTCAACCGTTTATGATCAAGTGAACGAATTCAATAACAGGCTAAATACAGTGATAATCCCCGTTAAGGTTAACAAAAAGTCAAATAGCCTATTTAAAAACTAACAATAATTACTAATGAACTTATATCTAAACGGTTCATGTTTAATTAAAACTCAACTTCTTTTCTTCTCAACGTTTACGACGACATACTCTCTTATGTTCGGCTATCCAATGTTGCTGTTGGCAAGTTTGAGAACAATATGCAGTATTCCAACAACAGTGGTAAATGGCTTCTTGTTCGCAGTTATAACACTAAAAGAGTAAGATCGATTATTAACAAAAATATTGACCTAATTTTATCAAAAAATAAATTTTGGCTTTAATATTTGATGAGTATGACTGTGAGGCACCTTTCAAAATATAGAATCCAATACCGCCGAAATTACGTCACGAGAGGACAGTAATTTGAATCGTAACTTAGTTTATCGGCGTTTTTATGTCTTTGATGTATGGAAAATAGTAAAGATAGTTATGAAATAAATATGTTTAGTGGATTATAATACCTAATTATGGAAAACTGTTGATATTTAGGTAGTTTGGTATTTAATTTTAATCAGAATAAAGTGCTAGATTTATATAAATCTAGGACTTCAATCTCCATTTTACAATGAAAATTTGTCGTAAATACTGAATTTCTATCAATACTAGATTAACTATTGAATGAATTACTGGTCCTTAGAGGTCAGCTAGGATTATACGAGTTATAATTACTTGTATAATTTAATGTAAGAATTTAAATAATATGTAATAAATTTTAATTGGTAAAAATCGTAATTAGTTTATTGTATTTCTAATAGATATAAATATACATAATTATTTTTTTCATTTTTTTTTTAAATATTTTTCCTTGATTGATCATTATGTCTTTATCTTGTTTTCTTAATGTCCACCAAATGATAACTGTTGTACGCAGGATGGTACAGAATAATTGTGAACATTTATATTTTGTTCCTCATAGGTATGTGTTCCTAAATTTGGGAATTGATTTTTATCTTTAAATGCTATGAAACCAGCAATATATATCAACCCATCTGTTTCGGTTTCTCTCCTTTTCTTTTCTTTCGGATTAGCTATTTGTGACACGTCTAAACTACTGCTACTTTTGCACACCATTTTAGTGACAGTATCAATTTCTAGAGTCAATAACCTCCGTTGTTCTTCCAAAATCTTGATTTCATAAGGTCGTTTAAATGTAGTTGTAGCAGATGTAAAGGAATTCATTAAGTCAAACCATTTATTAATAAGTTCTATAAACTCCCCAAGTTTTGTGCTGCGATTTCTTTATCTCTGGTTGCATCTTGAAAATAATGTTTTAAGGCTGTTTCAGTTGTGTGAGATAGTATTTCTGCAGCAAGTGCAACATTATGTCTCTGCATTTTTTTTACCTCTAAATAATCTGAAGTCAGCTTATAGGTAAATGGAACTTATTTCTGTTGTTGCAGCTTCGATTAGTTCTTTTAACAAATCTTTTTTCAATACACTTTTATCTTCAAGTTCAAATCCTGTGTCGATTACCCAGTTTCTTGTTAATTTTAAAAGATGGGGAGCATCAGCAAACATGTAGATATTTGCTTTTGTGAGTGGATGTGTAAAATGTGTGATGTCAACTGAAATATTCAGTTTTTATGGTAGAGAATATATTGTCAGTCATACTTGTATCACAGCAAATGTAGACTGGTTGCTTCTCTTTTATCCCTTTTCAAGAACAATTACCTCCATCCTTAATTTCAACCTAGGTCTAGTTCCCATTATTTGAGCTTACAATTCATCCACAAAATCATCTTTCTTGAAATGATTACTACATACTCTAGCAATTTTTATATTTGTTTTATCTTTTCTGAAACAGCGCATGATCCATATTTTTTCGAATTTTGTATTTTGGGAAACGTAAAAAATGCTATTTGTTGATCAGCATCAGCATACTTCTTGTTTTTATAAAAATTATTTTTACAAGTGGCCACACTACATCCTGTTCCTGGCATTCTAAAATTTAATCAACATTATTATTACGTTAATACGCAATGAAATTTTAAAGTTTTAACCTACCTTATAAAAAGATACTCTTATGTAAGGTACTCTACAATAGGTACGATGTACAACTACAATAAATAACTTTTCTTTGATAATTTAAAATAAGTTTTTACATGAAACAACCCCAAAATTTCAAATACAAAAATATAATATAAACTGAGATATTCAAGAAACAATAAATAATAAAGCAAATAATAAACTCAAATTTATTAACAGGTTCCATTCTTATATTATATCGATGCTGATAGTATTTTATTAATATCGAATTAAAATAAAGTATTTTTTAGTACAGAAATGATGTAGTAATATGTAGTGTAACAATAGTTTACTTACCCATTGCTTTTTCTTGACATCAGAAATTTGCTGGTTATGAGATTCAAATAATCTTTTTATGTACTCATTATGATCACTGCCAATTTTATCTATTTCAATTTGCATACAATCCATAGCACATTTTATTATTTCCTTTGTATTGGGAAGATCCTCTAGTTTTCTTCGCATCTAAAAAAGAATGATTTATATCTTTATATGCTATACAGAAATATATATATATATATATATATATATATATATATATATATATATATATATATATATATAGAAAGCATCGCGAAATATATATATATATATATATATATATATATATAGAGAGAGAGAGAGAGAGAGAGAGAAGGAGTACGACCGTGAATACAAACAGAATAATGTACCTGTTAAAATTGCAGTTAAGAATGCTAAGACTGTCAGAAATTTGTTTTCTAACACAAAAACACCCTTGTCCCTTCTGGAACAAGTAAATGTTCATTCATTATTTGTAATATGAAAGAAATAATACTGAAGTAAATTATTGCTTTAATTTATCTGTTATAATTACGTATATAAGTTATTAACTTAAGTTAATAACCTATACAACTAATGATAACAATAGTGTTACGATTTTAAATGTTATGGCATATAGAACTGTAAATATTTTATGACTAATCCTTTTTTATTGATTCTCGTAATTTGTAGGTCAAAATATACCTGAGCTTCGCTACCAGTTGTTTACAGAAATCTCTAGACACTAATTTTAGTGAGTCATCCACGTCTCGAAGTTGAAAAACGAGTCGAGCGCCTTCACCAAAATACGAGATCATTCAGGAAGCTCGCCGAAAGTTCCAGATGACAACAGTTGTGTATATAAATGAAAGATTTTTGTATTTGAGTCAGTCATAAGAAGATCGGTAAACGCGGTATTTAAATGTAACGAAACGTGAAATAAATACATTTGTAAAGTTATTTAATAAATTAGTAATTAGCTATCGTGAGTTTTAATAAATTAGATTGTAGACAATAAATTAGAATAAAGACAAATAAATTAGAACTATATAAACGTCACAATGGTGCAGAAGTGGGATTGTAGATAAATTTAATTTGATTTTTGAAAAAGACTTTTGAACTTTTGAAAGGTATTGTTCGTCGGGAACATCCGCGTAGTTCAGTAGTGATCGTTGTACGAAAAAAACATTTAAAAAGTACGTGTGTGCCTGACCAAAGATGCTGCTAGTAGAACTGTCAGTAAAACAGTTGCGTGAGCAACTAGAAGAACGCGATGAAGACTGCAGCGGATCCAAGAAGATCCTCCAAGAACGACTAAAAAATGTTCTTAACAAGAATGGAGATGACCCAGAGACATTCCATTTTCAATCAGCAGAAGAAGCAGTTTTAATGAAGATCGAAGAGAGTTCTAAAAAAAATGATGAAAGATTCAATGAAACGTCTCAAATTATTAAAGAAGTAGCTAGACAAAATGACGAGAAATTTGAAAATGTTGCTAGAAGATTTGACGAGACTTCTCAAATAATTAAAGAAATATGTATTCAGAATAGTGAGAAGTTTGAAGAAGTCTCTAAAACATTTGATAAAGTTGAAGAGAAAATCAAACAGTTAGAGACCATGATAACTAACACGAGAGTGCTACCACCAATTAATACGGTAGCTTTAGATCCGGTAGAGATAAAAGAAGACGAGACGAAATGTAAGTTGGAAACGCGGCCGAAATTTGAAGGATGTGGAGTTTCTGTTCATGTTAAAGTTCCAACTTTTGACGGAAAATCATCATGGAACAACTACATGAAACAGTTCGAATCGGCTGCAAGAGCGAATGGATGGTCAGAAAAAGAAAAGGCTGTAAACCTGACTATAGCTCTTCGAGGAGATGCCTTAGATGTGCTCCAGACCATAGCCGTAGAGGAGACGGATGATTTCGAACAACTGAAGAAGAGGTTAAATATGCGATATGGCCACGAACACTTAGAGCATGTATATCAGTCGCAGCTCAAAAATCGAAGACAAAAGAAAGATGAGGCTCTTCAAGAATATGAAGTAGATATTGCCAGATTAGTGCGATATGCTTATCCAACAGCTCCCGAAGGCATGATGGAAAAGTTGGCCGTTCAAACGTTTATTGATGGTCTTCGTGATCATGAGATGCAAAGAACACTACGATTAGCTCGTCACAAGACGCTGGTTGATGTCTTATCCGCCGCCCTCGAATACGAGTCAGCTACGCAGGCCTCTGGCGGTTACAGTAAAGTTAGGACTGTAAAAGAGGAAGAAGATGAAGATAAACTTGACCAGCTCGTTAATATGATGAAAAGCATGACATACAAGAAAACGAAGACCATAAGATGCTGGAATTGTGGCGAAATAGGACACGTACGAAGTTCATGTAAGCATCCTAGGTACGACACAAATCAAGAAACTCACCATCAGGAAAACTAGAACGGGTCGGCCTTAGGGGGGCAGCTTCGACCCAGAACTTTTCCAAAGACCCTCTCATACTAATAGCTTCTTTGAAATGTCGTGAAGATAGTGTATATGTAGATGGAGAAATAAATGGTAAAAAGCATACGTTGTTGGTGGATACGGGAGCGACCAGAAGCATTATTCGCCCGACAGTTATAAACAGCCGTAAGAAACTGTTACCAACGAGGTTGCGACTGCGGACCGCTACAGGTGAAAATGCTAACATTCATGGAGAAATCCAGGTACAATTAGGAATTGGAGCAGAAAAGTTCGTCCATACTGTTATAGTTGCTGACATCGAAGAGGATGTTATATTAGGAATGGACGTAATGAATACGCATGGATTCCAATTGGATTTTAAAAATAAAGTAATCAAAGTTGGTAACGAGGAGGTATTTCTCCATCCACATGATGACAACACTATGCAAGCAGCCGTTAAAGAAGATACAGTCGTGCCTGCGAGAAGTGAAACAATCATAGTAGCGCGGCTACAGGGAATTGTGGACGAAGGGTCACCTGTTATGATGGAGCCTTGGAACCATGACGACGAAGTTGGCCGTGGAATCATAATTGGAAAGGAATTGGAGAAGATCAATGATGTTATTTACCGAATAAGCAAGATTCCGAGAGGAAAGCCGATGATAGTACACCATAACCGGTTGGCGTCTTTCGAGGGTGACCACGACGTAGATGAAGAAGTGGAAGTAAACCAAGTCCAAGATGTGTCTGACCTCACGTTTGAGGAATTCATGGGTGCCTATGGAGGTACCGGTAAAGCAAGACATGGTGTTACCACTGAAGAAAGGCAAGATCTACTCGCGCTTCCCGATGACTACTCACTGGCCCTTACCATCCCGGCCAGTATCAAAGATGCACCAGGGTTGGCATCCGTCTTTCGAAGGAAGTTTGGTCGAGTTGCAGAACTTCAATGCCAAGTGCCAGCTCCTGGTAAAACCTTGAAACTTCAAGATGCATCACGTTACCTTTTCTACCTGTTAACAAAAGACACTGCCCGTGACCAACCTACCTACCGAGATGTATGGGAAGCCTTACTTCAGTTGAGAGAGCACGTACTAGAGTCCGACGTGCAAAAGTTAGCCATGCCAAAGTTGGAGTGCCGCCAATTAGATTGGAGGGTTATACGAAACATGGTGGAGGAAATCTTTAAAGACACCGAAGTCCAGGTGTTAGTCTGTTGCAATCCGCATAGTTACTGCTGCGGAGAGAAAACCGTCCCTTGTCATTTCTATACAACTGGAAGTTGTAAAAGAGGGTCCAGTTGCCGATATCAGCATGTCGTTCCAGTTCCAGTCCCGACAAGGTTCCAGGAGGAACCATCTTTTAAGAGGGGGCAATGTTACGATTTTAAATGTTATGGCATATAGAACTGTAAATATTTTATGACTAATCCTTTTTTATTGATTCTCGTAATTTGTAGGTCAAAATATACCTGAGCTTCGCTACCAGTTGTTTACAGAAATCTCTAGACACTAATTTTAGTGAGTCATCCACGTCTCGAGGTTGAAAAACGAGTCGAGCGTCTTCACCAAAATACGAGATCATTCAGGAAGCTCGCCGAAAGTTCCAGATGACAACAGTTGTGTATATAAATGAAAGATTTTTGTATTTGAGTCAGTCATAAGAAGATCGGTAAACGCGGTATTTAAATGTAACGAAACGTGAAATAAATACATTTGTAAAGTTATTTAATAAATTAGTAATTAGCTATCGTGAGTTTTAATAAATTAGATTGTAGACAATAAATTAGAATAAAGACAAATAAATTAGAACTATATAAACGTCACAATAGATTAGCTCTATTTCAGTAAGTGATTGTAAAATATTTCGAGTTATTGTTAGCTGAGCTATAATTTTTTTATTCAACTATTAAATGCATTCAGAATAATTCATAAAAAGTGATCAAAATTATCATAAAAGTAGAACAATGCATATTTACCTTCTCAACAGAATCACTATATGGTTGATCTAGAGGCAGCATACCCGATTCACCAGATTTGCCAAAGTTTTCTGTTGTAGAACTTGTGACTTGCTCGTAAGATTCCTCCCTACTGACATTCAAGAAATAATAAATAATGATAATAACTCATATAAAATGCAGTCATTAATTGTATATAGCCTCGGTGTTCTATTAGTTAAATCTAAAGTTAAGAAAATTACGTCATCCTCCTATAAAGTAAGTCTTTATATTGGCGCGACTTGTTGGGACCATAGACAAAAGTATTAAGTGTTAACATAGACAAAGCTTCAATTTGTAACCGCCTATGTAATATGTCCGGGGAAGAGGGGAAAATTTACTGATATATTTAATGATTGCTTGTGCAACCCTGTCAAACATCTTCATCGACTCAATAAGAGATTTAAAGATATACATGTTTGTTAATTTGTATTTACAATTAGTTTGTTTTATTTCAATAAAGGGTTACCTATTTTATAAGTGAATTTCTCAAGGTTTTTACAACCCTCCCACCCAATGATATTTGATGCTTTTCAGAAAACGAGTTTTTTAGGCAAGACAATGCTCATCCTTATTTGATCGGTTTGGTCATTGAATAAGTGTATACTATTGATATTGCAATAATGGAATTACCATCTACCAGCCCTGACTTTCTATTAAACATTTATTTTCATATATTTTAAAAGCAATGGTCCGATACCGGAGACTCCCACTTACAAACCTAATCAAGTGACGGATACAGTAATTGAAAAATGAGAGAATAATCCCCAGAATGAGGATCGAATGAACGTTGTTGAAATTATCGTATTTTATAGTACAGAGTACCCACTTATTTCTATTGAACAAGAAAATACCTAAGTGAAAAAATATATTGAAGTTTTTTTGTAAAAGAAACAAACGAAGACAAATAAACAAACAAATTATTTAAAAGAAATAAACTAGTAAAAAATATTCACTATTCAGCTCATGTGAACTCAACTTCTTGCACTTCATCATCGGATTTTTTATTGTATAAATTGGTTGTATTTATAGTGTTTAGCATTATTCATGACAGTGTACAATTGACACAATCCTTTTGAAATTAAAATGATTGGCATGAATGCATAATGTCGTAAAAAGTGTTTGTTACCAAACGGTTTCTGCACTTCGTATTTCTTAAATTTACTTTTAAAAATGGTCACAACTTGCATTTGAATGAGGTAAAGAACACAGACAATGCAAAGTTCGTCAAATTAGCAAATAGAGGATTACCGGCAAAATGTTTTATTTGACCCAGTGTAAAATAAAACTTATCCAGATTTTCGAAATCTATTGGAATATGCTGATATTGTTGAAGTTTCATCCATTCGTCATCGATCGATTTTGTATTGTTTGTGGGTCTAATGGATTACAAATTCGGGTCAATTTTGAAATTAGTTATAAAATACTTTGGCAAATGTTATTACTAGGTACTATTATTTAGAAGCTGTATCTTGCCCATTACTGGATTTGCAAAATCATTTTTTTTTTACTTCTATACACGCTGTAAACAAGAAACGCTTGCATCTTTCGTAAACATTCTGTTCAATCCAACGTCTAAATTATTAATATTCACAACCAATCTCTGATACATTTCTACAAATCCCAAATCCTAGACACATCTTGGTAATGTTGACCTTAAAATCATCGTATAAAACGATAATTATCGTACACCAGGCAACGCAGGACGTTATTTTAAACTATTACATTTAAACGGAAACATTAGGGTTTTCAATTGGGAGAATATGAGGAAACATAACATTGATCTCTCTTTATTAAGTGGAAACACAATGCTATAATAGTTACTTTGCTAGTATCTCTTGCATGTCAACATAAGTCGTACGTTATGGATAAACTCTGAAATGGAGTAAAACTAGATTTAACAGGATACTTTGCATATTATCGAAATTGGCTGGATAAAAGGCAAAGGTCATTGTTAACTTCTTGATTTATACGGGTCATTCTAGATATATCCAATGCCAAATGGATAAAAATCATATTCATTTTTACTCTCAATTACAAACGGATATTTATTTAAACATGATGCTATAGTATTAACCAGATAAATCCAGAATATAATGAAATATATGCAAATATGTAGCTTTATCCACTATGCTTGGATAATTCTAACTCTATCCGGGTAATTCTGGTAGTATCTTATCTTCGCATTATATATATATATATATATATATATATATATATATATATATATATATATATATAAATGTATATATACAGGGTGGTCCTTAAATAATTGTACAAAATGAAACCGTAGATTCTGCGCTTTAAAATATTACGCTTTGAGTTATAAGCCAAATTGCTTTAATTAAATGTTGATATTAAGAAAGGTACAGGGTGAAGTGGAATTTTAAAATTTTATTTTTCGCTATAACTTTCATGTTTGTGAACATTTATGTATAAAAATTTACAACTGGGGACTATTGAATATGAGGAGTTATAATTTGGTGCATAGTTTAATGTAGCTGATAAAGGGCACCACATATGAAATTTGCACTTAACTTTTTTGCTCTTGAAGTTACCGGTATTTGTGACAAAAAATATTAAAGACACATTATTTGACCAAAAAAAGGTATACTTGTTAATAACTTCAAAAATTAACAGTTTTCAAGATAACAGCATTTTACAAATCAACTGCATAATTCTGATTTAACCCAATTACTCCAGGCAACGAAAGAAAAATAGACAAAAACATCAATACTTCCGAATTTTGGTATGAAATAAAGTTAATAGTTAACGAAATATTAAATAAAATATATATAATCGTAAAATAGTTTCGAAACTATTTTACGATTGTTTAATTAGATGTCGCTACTGCGTCCGTATTGAAGCCATGTTATTGTTGCTTCTTAAAAGGCAGAAAATATTGATTTTTCACGTTGAGAACCCCTATGAATAGCTCTTCTGACGAGACCTATTAGGTCGAAATACGTATCAAGAGATCCATAGGATTTGTTTGCGTGAAATCAAATATTTGCTGCCTTTTCTCACTTTATTCGGATTTACTCTGTGGGAGTACAAGAAACACAATTCGCTAAGGATTACTGCTTAGTTGTAAAAGACATGTCGTGGAATGCAAATTTTAGATTCCCCATGTCTCTTTTAACATCTTTTATCAACGTCTGTTTGCCTTGCAATTCTTAGAAGGCTCAGATTATAAAGCAGAAATCTGAATTGTATTTCGAAACTATTTTACGATTGTTTAATTAGATGTCGCTACTGCATCCGTATTGAAGCCATGTTATTGTTGCTTCTTAAAAGGCAGAAAATATTAATTTTTTACGTTGAGAACCCCTATGAATAGCTCTTCTGACGAGACCTATTAGGTCGAAATACGTATCAAGAGATACATAGGATTTGTTTGCGTGAAATCAAATATTTGCTGCCTTTTCTCATTTTAAAATATATATATTAGCAGGATAATTTGTAATAGGATTAGACAAAATAACAGAATAATTGGATTTTATATCAAACATTTTACGTTTTATATTAAATTAAAGCCATAATCAAAACATTTTATTTACAAACCAAATTAAGAAATAGTTAAACTAAACAACATTAAACTTTTTGTCAAAAGTAAGTGTTCCATATGTCCACCATTTTCTTTAATTCATTTATCAATACTTTCCATAAAAAATGAGTATCATATTAAATAGCATCATTGGTTCTAAATAAAGTGCTGCAGTAAATAATATTATACGTATTATAAGTATAATAATAAGTACTATTTTGGGATTTTTTATGAATTAAATAACTAATTATATTAATATCGCACCACATAATCAAGGAATATGACTACCACGAACAATCCAACGTTAAGAAAAGTCGGTATTTAAGTTATGTTCTCACTGCTCCCTCTCTATAATTTGGTGGTGTACCATCTTGCATAAACCACATATTTCTCCTAAGATTGATGACAATTCGTCAAATAAATCTAACGTCAATCATACGTCTATTTAAAATTCATGTTGAAAATGCCTTCCTGATCGGGCGTAATGATTTTTGGTCGGCCTAAGTTGTCACGTTTAGGACGAAATGAACCACTTTCGTCTAAATTCCGAAAGAGATGTTTAATGCCTTCCTGATCTTCCTCATCGGGCGTAATGATTTTCGGTCGGCCTAAGTTGTCACGTTTAGGACGAAATGAATCACTTTCGTCTAAATTCCGAAAGAGATGTTTAAAGGTTTATTGTTTAAGTTGTTGCCTGTTTGGGCATCTTTTTAAATATTCGTTCTCATATCCATATTAGAAAAATTATTATGCCTCGGCATTTTATGCTTTTCTTTAATAAACCAAAATAAACTAGATATTACAAAAATCACTGATGAATCGAAACAAGACTTATTTTTAGTTATGAAAAGCATTCGTGATATCAACCTACTATGTTAAAATTTTCCGTAATGCATTGGGGTTGACGACTGGCATCAAAACTGCCTTCAAAAAAAGGTGGTAGGTACAGTAGCTGGCACTGTAAACTAGCGCGGAGAATCATACCATGTTTTCTATATTTTTAAATAATATTTTTAACATTTAATAAAGTAATTTTATTATTTATATTTTAAACAAATTATATTATATTATAATAATTCAATAAATTATGTTTGCTGGTAGCGGCACCTGCTAACTAAATATTAAGTTATTAATAAAATATAAATTTGATATTCAATCATTAATTTGATAGTTAATTTAATTATTATATAAAATAAATAAGATATTTCAAAATAAAATTTGATTATAGTTTAAAAGGAATTTATTAACAAGTAACATTAAAAAATATATGATGAATAGAAACGAATTAATAAAGAGTAGTACATCGATGTGAAGACCGTTATTTCGTGAAGCTGCTCGTGACGCTCGCCTCGGGATTTTACAATAAAGAAAAAGTAATACAACGCCAGTATAGAAACTTATAGAAGCGATATAGAAAGGAAATTGTAAACATGATGACGGCCAACTTCTGAATACAATTTTTGTACAAAAATTACTTAAGGACCACCCTGCATATATCCACAATTATAATTATACATAATATTAAACTAATGACTAAATTTACCTGAAAGATTCTGTAGTAACATTATTTTGTCTATATGAATATTCTTCACAGTCTTCGATCTCTCCATCCGAAATATCTATCACATTAGTAGAATTGGCTTCTGCAGTTGATGTCCTAATTTTTTTGTTTTCCTCAGATATAACATCTGTTAAGACATATTTAAAAACATTATAATATTTTCCATTGCTCACAAAAAATTGAACAAATTTGATAGGAACAAATGTAACCTAACAAACACTTCCACGTTTTAATTCATTTATTTTCTCTTTATTTTTCTAATTTGGTGAGACATACCGCATAGTATATTTCTAGGCGGTCCTTTCTCACGATATGTTTTTTATTTTTATTTGTTACTTTTAATTATTAAAATTTTTACAGTAATTACAAAAAAAGCCTTAAGATATTAATTTTAAAATATTTTAAATAATGAATTTCTATTTAACTGGGAATAAGCCACAATTAAAGGTTAAAGTACGTTTATTGACGTTTCAATTTCCACTTTGGAAATCGTTCTCAAAATACAAACATTAGTAAATTAAACAAAATTTGTTTTTCTTTGTTGTTAGCTTCAAAACAATATTCTAAATAATGATCTTAAAGACGCAATTGCCGTAAAGAGTACCGTTATCTTTCAACCAGTCCAGTTTGGATTCAATCCTTATTTAATGCAGTTGACAAAACCATTAGTTCAAGCTGGGTCCTTTTTCTTTTTTAATTGAGAACAATATGGACTGAAATGACCTTGCCCATTATCGATAACCTCTGAGCATCGGTACCTTTGAGTTACTGTGCATTTTCACAAATAGAAGGTAAAAAAAAATTGATGCAAAATAAATAACTAAAATTGAGAATGCATTCGATGTCTACTCGATTATAAACATTTGCTGGTTAGCAGGTTAAGGTCATTTACAATAATTGTCATTAATTTATCCAGAATTTTTTGAAAACCATATCCAGGTTGGAAATCAAAACGTGAAAGCAAATGCAAAATGCAATTCTCACTATAATCAATTGTGGTTTTATCTCATATAAAATCAAATCAAGTTACATATTTTTGTTTGAACTTACAACCAAACAACAATAAACTGTTTTACCAGACCGTTAAACTGAGTTCTTTGTCGATTCTCTTACTATGTTAGCTTTTGAAGAGTGAACTATGTTTAAAATACAGTGGTAATCCTTTTGTATTCAATTTCTTTTTGAAACAACGTGGTGATGCTACCAAAAGTTAAATGTAAGTAATTTATCAATGGTTTTCTAAATCCCCTTATTAGTGATGAACATTCTGTTTGTTATTTATGTATTAGTTTACTTTTATATACTTTTTACACACTTCTATTTTTTCTTTAAAAAAATTGAACTTTTTATGTTAACGAGTCCATGGTTCTAAATGGAATTATTATGCAAGGAAGGATCCAAGGAAGAAGAAGCATAGGAAGAAGACGCATCTCCTGGCTGAGTCACCTTAGAGAATGGTTTAACTGTAGTTTACTACAACTTTTCAGAGCAGCAGCCAACAAAGTGACCATAGCCGTTATGATATCCAACCTCCGATAGGACATGGAACTTTAAGAAGAAGAAGGTTCTAAATGGAGCTTTTTTCTTTGATATTTTCTCTATATTTTTAAACTTATTGATATACTTTTAGATTGAACTAATAATGTGTATGGATTCATATAAGAAACGTATATGAATCGTATGAACGATCCAGAGCTCCTATCATTTCTTCGTTGGAGGAAAATTTACGAACTTTTACACTTTCTTTTTAATTGAAGAAACATATACCTTAGATATTTATTTTAGCCAAATTCGACGGTCTGATTAAATAATGTCAATAGATGCATCGATATTTATGAAGGTCAACACAGAAACTGTTCTTCCACATAGGCCTTTCTTCTTCTTCTTCAGATGCAAATCCACTAATGGATGTTAGCGATCACATTTTCCATTAACTCTCTATTTCTTGCAATATGTATCAGAGATTGTATGTCGTTAATCCCTGTCCATTGCCTTATGTTTCGGAGCCAGGACATTTTCTTGCCTTAGGCTTTTCTTGCTTAGACATTTTCTTTTCTTGCCTTGACATAGGCCTTTATCTTATTAACAACATTTACCTATTTTGAAGATTTCCATTCCACTTTTTCACGATTGCATACGAAGGATATTGGTCGCCAAAAGTATTAAACATATCTTCGTAAATTCGCTTACCGTCTGCTTGGCTAGCTCGATACTCCAATTTTTAAATTTTTACAATTTCGGTCAACATCCTTTTTTACTCTTTACTTTAGTCAGTGGTAGCGCAATCGGTTTAGGATAACTAACTATGAATACACCATCATACAGTGTGGGATAAATTATGGAGCTAACTAATATCTTTGAAACAAAAAATATGTTATTCATTAAACTTGGCATGCAAGTGATGCATAACGCATTTGACGCCATATTTTTTGTAACCATTCTACTTTCGGTATCACCGGTAATACAAAGTTTGGTAAAAACTATTTACTAACTAATATGTATTGTTCGAAGCTATTTTCTTGTGGCATTTTAAAGTAATTACTATTTACATGGGAATAAGGCACAATTAAAGGTTAAAATACGTTTATTGACGTTCCGATTTACACTTCAGAAATCGTTCTCAAAATACAAACATTAGTAGATTAATATGTAAATCTATTTACTAAGACTAGCGAGAATAATAATTTAAAAAAAATCGCTTCAAATGTTCAAAATGCTCGTTGTTTCACAATATGAAACCTTATTATTCAATTCGTGAATCACTCTTTCCAAAAACATCTAACGGATTAAGGTCCGGAGAACGAGCAAGCTATGAATCCTCTACGTCCAATCCATCGGTTTGAAAAATTCGTGTTCAAAAAATTTCTAACCCGTCGATAATAGTGGAAAAGCGTTCCATCTTATTCAACCCAACAATTATGGGGTAGCTGTCCATTCTGTTGAAATACAGGAATAATTTGGATATACTAAGTCTAAATACTTGTCACCAGTCAAGTTTCCGTCTAAGAAAAATGAGTTTATAAGCCTATTTTGGATAATTTTCATCTAAACATTCAACTTTTTTTGGAAGCTTTTCTAACACAATCACCATAACCGATCATTATTAATGTTTTAATACGATCGTTTTCACTTTTTATGAACAGATGAACTATTTTTATTACACAACTTAGTATTGTTAATGGGTTTGTCAACAGGTACCTACTATGTAGTACTCGTTTATTTCTTACTACACTGTTTTAATTCAAAAAAACCTTAAGACACGAGTTTAGTTTTTCTACCAAATTGCTATATCTGAATTATGAATAACAAGTTTTTTTTTTAATCTGAAAAAATAAATAGGGGGTGTCATTTAAATTAAATAAGTTGAGCATTTCGAATGAAACTGGAAATAGAGTAGTAACAAAAAGGACTATCCGTTGCAAGATGATTCGGATGAAATTAACCAGATTAACAGACTGGGTCGATATCAAGCACAAAATGACTATACTCCCTTAATGCTGTAACGAATAGTCACCCTTAGTCTTTCGTTACATTAGGTTCAATTTTAAATTCTATCCAAAGTTTAAAGGTACTTTACTAAATGATATAAAGTAGGTGGTGTACCCAGGTACGTGTTAACGATATAATATATAATAATAATAAAATTTTAAGCATAATTTTGTATACATATTTAAATTTAATCAGTTAATTGCATTTGTACTTGGCATTCAGAATTACAAATTTTTAGGTACGTAAAGGCAGTGTTTATAAGAAATTTTTTTCAGGTAAAAGGATAATGTTTACTTAATATCGAATTATCATTAAATGGGCTTCTGTGAGAAGAAGAGTTTATTTGAAAAGAACTTCATTTTTCTTTTGTCGTTCATATAGAAATGATTAGTGACGATGTCCTGTAGTACATTCCTGCCACTATTTCGGGAAGTTAAGACGAGTCTGAATCTGAAAAACGTTCTGGTTAGATTCATCTCACACAAGATGCAAACCAAATCGTCCTTAACGTTTAGAACCGTAAGTACTCGTTAAATATACTCTTTAGTTAACCTTCCTAATACCGGGTGAATTTTAAAACGACCAGTACCAGGTCCCCAGTAGTTTGGTTCACTTTTAAGCGAAAGGATTCTATGTATCTCATTAATCTCACCATTTTTTCAACTCTTTGTTGTCTGTATACTTTGTTTAGTACCAATTCAACAAATTAAAAATCAAAGACAGAAGACAGTCACATTCAGAAACTCACCAAATAAACAGGTAATTGTAGCAGTTATCAGATATAAGACTATTTAGGGCTAATTGCACTTTACAAATTCTTATAGAGACAATCCTAATTAGAAAGTGATGCTTCGAAGAAAACTATAAAAGTTTCTAATGTGTAATAGCAAGAATGAAATTTCAAAGATAAAAGAAACACATTACAATCAACAGCTAATATGTAAAGAATGCGACTGCACATCATGGTACGTAATTAGTACAGTCATTAGTAACCATTTTCCAAAACTTTCGTCTAAACTGATAAAATCAGATTTGTAGAACATGAAAACACTCGATACTAAGTGGGGCCAATTCTCGCCCCAAAGATTTCCGCGAAATCCGACGAGAATATTTAATTTTCTGTTCGCGGTATTTTGGATTTTACTATTTCTTTGTGCTCTTACTACATCAACTACCAATGTCCTAAACCGTCATTAAACTTAATTACAGATATTAATAAAAACGTCAGACCTTGGGCGAGAATTTACGCCAAACGGTATTAGGAACGTTAATCATATTTACCGATTATTAAAATATATAAAATAACATATAAAACACAGAATACCGAGCAGACATCCTTAAAAAGTAAAATTACATATTTTTTCTTAGGCCTTCTTTCGACGATGGTTAAATCAGAAGCGATCAAAAAGACGGTTTTTTGAGACAAGTTCCACGAACCACTGTGTACGAATTTATAAAAGATGGTCCAGTATTGCAAAAAAAAAAGAAATGATTCTGGTGCCCATCGAGTATTACCGAATTTTCATTTATCAGCTATACGGGAAACAATATATCATAATATGTATTCAGTGAATAACTTACCAACTTTATATAAACTTTTGAGTGAAATAAGAAACAAAGAAATAATCCCCGAGTGTCATAAAACTACTTTTTGGAGCTTTTTAAAACCTAATGGTTTGTTTAAAACAGTGAACACATGGCAAGCAATTATGGAATCCAGCCGTTTAATAAAGTGGAGGTTCGATTATTTGGAGAGTCTAATGTATTTTAAGAGTGAAGGGAAGAATTTGTATTATTTTGATGAAATGGTATCGTTCGACACCCACGATATAGTTAAAAAAATGTTGGACCGATGGTAGTAAAAATTGCGTCACCAATACGTCACCTCTAAAGGGAAGAGAATTTGTATTTTAAATTGTGGGGGAGAATCAGGATGGGTAGAAGATGCTTTATTACTCTCTGCTAAGAGTGTAAGTGATTGTCGCTTAGATTATCATCAAGATATGGACAATACTTTGAAAAGTGGTTTGAGCAGCAATTACTACCTAAATTAAAAAGAAATAGCATTATTATTTTGGATAATACTCCGTATCATTGTAGACTAAATAGTTAAAATTCCAAACATTATTTCAAACAAAACTAAAATTCAAGAATTTTATCAAAACATGAAATATATTTTATGGATTCTTTAACAAAAAAACAACTTGTAGAACTATTATTATAATAAGTTAAATGTAAAAAAAATATGTTATCGACAGGCTAGTTGAGAATTATGGTCATAAAGTATGTTATCGACAGGGCTAGCTGAGAATTATGTCCATAAAGTATTAAGATTACCTCCTTACTATTGGGTACTCATCCAATAGAATTATTGTGGTCACAATTAAAAAGTAATGCGAGGAAAAATAATAATTCTCCTAACTCATTTTAGACTGTTGTAGAGTTATTTAAGACCGAATGTAATAATATTACAGCAGATAATTGGAAAAAAATGTATAGAGCATGTCAAAAACTAGAATAAAAATCCTTTCAGTTCCAAAACATTATAAATAGAGTAGTTATAGATTTAAACGATTGCTATGATAGTGATACCCATTTAAATGTGGACGATAGTTAAGTTTAAATTTTTTTTTTTTGTATTTTTTCACTATGTTTAATATAAATTTTAATATAAAAGTATTACTTATATGTATTTTTCTTTTCCTTTGTGGGACTGCCGTAATTTAAATAAAATGTATCAGTATATAAGTCCGACCCTGTATACAACTATAACTAGAAGATTAAATCCGAAATATCTTGAATGTCAGTGTACTTGTATCGCAAGTACACTGACAAATAACGCATCTAAATGGCATTAGATGCGTTATGTGTCAGTGTAGTTGCATGCAAAGATTTATGAATATCGTCTTTTTCGTTTCAAAGATATTTACTTAGTTCCGTACTTCATCCCAACCTTAATACGATAATGCGAGAAATACAAAAGCCAAAATTCAGAGGATACGTTAACAAATAAAGAAAAATGCCAGGAGATAAAGAACTATATTTATACCGCATATCCCGTATATATCGTTATCTTTATATTTTGTACCTATTTTTAATACCGGCGCAGCATCTTTAATTCTTGCTCTGCCAAACGCATTCTTCAAGTTTATCAGACACATATATATGCCGATTTATTGTATTTCGTAGACAATCTGCTTTATGTGAAATAGGGAGCTTAATTGTTATTAGATTCTCTGTTGGGTGATTTGACATTCTTTAATTTGTCAATTATTTGTTTTACGTATGTTTGTCAGTTGTTTTAGTTTTTTCAGTACTTGTATTTATAATTTACAAACTTTAAGTAATAAGACAGCCAAAACATATAATTAGTAAAGGGAAACTATATAAAATAAACTCAAAAAAATTGTTTACTTACCAACTATTTTATTTGTACCACTATGTGCCGTATTATTTGTATCACTTAGCCTTCTTTTAGGAGCCCGGGTACTCGAGACGTTTGGAGAGTTTTTGGAGGAACTTGTTGAGGGCTTGCTCTTAGACTTTTTACTTGTGGACTAAAAATATTAAAATTAGGTTTCATTAGTAATCATATCCTTTTACAATTTATATTTCAATGAATGCCTGTAGTGATGACGTTATTGTTTGGTTTGGCCTCTTAACTACGACTTGTCATCATTTGCGATTTTGTCTCTCTGCAGATAAAAAAAATTACTTCATATTTTACAATAACTAAAATTTCAAAAATTAGAGAAATCCAAAAATTCCTTATCTTGTGCGGTTCATCAAAGACAACGTCCAAAACTAACAAGAAATTTGTGAAAGCAGTTGTGTAGACTATCCACGATGTTGAATAGGTCAAACCAATCGACGAATTAAAAAAAGAATCTATTAACATTCCATTCAGTCCGCAATTTCGATTAAATTTCTACTACTATAACTCAGCATCATACCCGAACAGTTCATCGAAGAATTTCGAGTTCCTCCTTAAAAACCCAACGTTTAGGTAGGATTTTTTCAGCCCAGAACTTTCGTAAATTCCAAAATTTGTGCTTGAATTCTGGATGACACTTTCCCTCTGTGGACGTGGACTATAATTTCAGTACTTTTTTAGATAAGCTTGTCTGTATTTTCAATAAGGCATTTCCTTTAATTAGAATTAAGTCAAAACATCAAAAACCCTGCGTTCACTACTGTACATCAAGAAATTTACTACCAATGTCTTTGTCACTAAATATATCTCCAAGTACAGTGGAATCTATCTTATCAAAACAGCTAAAAAAATGTACTATGAGAATCGTCTGGAAAGCTCTAAAAATGCTGCAAGGAAAACTTGGTCCATAATAAATGATCTTCGAAATAAAATTAACACAGCCCAAACATTTTCTCTTCCAAACCCTAAAAATCTAAATGAATACTTCGTTAACGTGAGTAAAAATATAACATCAGCTATTTTGCCACAACAAGATCCTATTTCCTATCTTCCCAATTCAAAGAAAGGTCTCCAATTCATTCTTTATAAGACCAGTTGATAAATCTGAACTGATCCAAACAATCAGTAGTATCCAAACTGATGGATTATCCATAAAAATTTTCTTAAATCACACAAATAATGTGTTAGAAGTCCTGGCCTCACTAATTAGGGATTCCTTTGAAAAAAGTATATTTCCAGAGTGCCTAAAGACAGCCATTATTGTTCCTCTTTATAAGGTTGGTAATAAATCTAATGTTTGCAACTATAGACCGGTTGCCTTACTACCTGTCCTATCCAAAATTATTGAGAGGCTTATAAAAGCCCGACTTATTTCCTTTCTCGTTGAAAACAACATTTTATCACAAAGTCAGTTCAGCTTTTTATCTAATAAATGTACCAGAGATGCTATGTTCTCTGTACTACATGAGGTTTATCAAGTGCTAAACAATAATCTTTATACTGCCACTGTTTTTTGTCACTAAGCCAAAGCTTTTGATTGTGTAAATCATGATATTTTGAACTAATTACTATTTAAATGGGAATAAGCCACAATTAAAGGTTTAGATTAATTTAAAATGCCACAAGAAAATAGCTTCAGAAAATGATATTTTGATAAAGAAAACTAAATTTGAATAATTGATGGATTCGATGGATGATGGATTCACATTCAAAATAAAGGCCTTAAGCTATCTTTGTTAGAATCTATGGAAATCAACAAATTAAAAAAACACAGATATAATTATGAATGACCAACTTGAGACAAACAGTTCTCCCCTCCTCAACCTATTTCATTAGAGACTATAAATTTGTAAACCCAAGCCAAAAATAGATCAGTTGAGAAAGGCAATTAGCCGAAACAGCTGTAGTGATAAGATTTAAAATAAATTTTGTGGAAGTTTGAAAACAAAGTTTTCAGTGTTTTATTGTTACATAAAACTAAATTTCTAGGGAATTCGAGGTATTTCTTTAAATTGGTTCCAATCTTACTTGAGGAATAGGAAACAACTAGTTCAACCAAATAATACTGACAAAACCATTGTATGTGGAGTACCACAAGGTTCAGTACTAGGTCCTCTACTTTTCCTTATCTTTATAAATGACATCACTAACTTAAAAATCGATGGAAACATTTTTCTTTTTGCTGATGATAAGACAGTAGCATTATCCGATAACGGAGCTCTTCAACCCTTGCTTCTAAATAACAGCCAGATCAGTATAATTGATTCTGTAAAATTTCTTGGTATTTTTATAGACAGCAACCTTAAATGGTCCTTTCATTTCAAGAGTTGTTTTGAAGTAAATGAATTTAGCAACTTCCAAAATAACACACTTTTCTTTGTTCGAGACGTTCGAAGGTTTTATTATGCAATTTGCAATATAGTGAAATTGTGCAATAGATTGTATATTTTATTATGTTTTATTCTGTGATATTAACGATTTATGTCATTTTGGTAAATTTGAATCGTTATTGTTATTATTACTATTTTTTTTAATTTTTTATTAATTTTTATAAGCTTTGTTCATAAATTTGTACAATTTTCAGTGACAATAAAGCATATTTCAATTCTATTCTATTCATACATAGTCCAAGACAAAAATGAATAATTAGTGAATTTTTGAAACCAGCACTGCAATGTGAAGAGCAATCATACAACAACTCTACATCTAACAACTCCAAATTGTTGTATGCAATTTTTTTATGGCACACTAAAGTGTAAAAAACGTTATTTTTTAATTATTTTTATTGTATCAAATAAACATTTTTAGGCTAAAATGAGCACAATATTATGAAAGAACACAAAAAAGAGTTAATTTGTACTTTGCTAAATTAAATCTGACCCAATAGTTTATACAAAATTAACGATTGAAGGTCCAAAAATGTCAATATTTCGCCTTTTTAAATATAGAAATAACATTTGTAAAAATCCGTTTTTTGTGCAAAAAGCATTACATTTATTGCAGCTCTTTTAATTACAAATCGAATGAGACTTCGTATGATCCAGAAAAAAATTTCAACCCCTTACTTATTGCTTTGAAATGGGGGCGACTCTTGCCTTACAAATTAATTACTTAATTCGGAACTTCAAATCCGCGGCGTTCTAAAAAATGTATCATGTTTCCGTTAACATTTCTTTTTAAATTAATCTTAATCATCTTTATTTTACATATGATAAATTTTTTAAACTAAATTCCTTTTAAATGAAAACTTGTGAAGTGAATACATCTTATCGCTCGGTATGGTGTTTTTGCACGGGTTCGAAATCATATTTAGCGTGCCTCGAAAAATCAAGATGCGTTTAGTAACCTTGCGGTATCTTCATCTAATGGCGCTACAACCCTTTGTGGGTCTTGGCCTGCTTAACAACGTTCTTCCATTCTGTCCTGTCGGATACTTTCCTGCGCCACTGCCTGATGTTCATGGTTTTAAGATCTACCTCTACATCGTCTATCCACCTTTTACGGGGCCATCCTCTTGTCCTATTCGCTTGGGGTTTCTGTTTCCATGTCTGGATTACTTTTACAGCTTGATTATCTGTAGTGGGCAAGCGAGTTTACCCTTTGTGACTTTACAAATCTAACGATATTTGTGCTATTCATTAATTCATCCAACTCATAGTTCACTTTTATTCTCCATGAACCATCGCATATGGGTTGGTTTCATATATTTCTTAATATTTTGCGCTCAGATATTCTCAATTTATTTTCATCAGTCGTTGAAAAGGACAGGTATTTTTTCGGATAAACGCTTAATTTTTATTAGACTTACACTTTAAACAGTTTTTTTCGTTTGTGTTTCCGTAATTATAGTATTAAAAGTTTAAAGATAATTAAAATTTTAAGATTTTATTTTAAATTTGCAAGTGCTCCGTTTTTCTGCCGGTGAGTGCAGTAAATTAAAATAATGACATCATTACTGTGATTCAATAACATGTAAAACGTGTGTAACCTGTTAATTTATTGTGATAAATTTTTTATATACCTGTTTACTAGTACTTGGAATACTAGTCCTGATTTTACTCGGTTTAACAGGGGTTTTAGCAGGTGATTTGAATAAACTAGGTTGGGGCTTGGGCAATGATTTGCGTTTCTGCTTGGATTCTGATGTTAATCTTTCTACTTCTACAGGATCATTTATCAGGCGCTGATGATATCGCAGTTCTTCAAGAGCTTTATCCGCTGTAGCAGATGGTTTTATCTAAAAACAAAAGTAAGTCAAACATTTTTTTAAAATCCACATTTAAATATTATACAACACGATGAACAACAATAAAATATTAAATAAAGTTATAAAAACACCAGTTTTATGTCTTTCCGTTTAACAAAAGTAGTATTTAAAAGACATATCGGAGAATTCATTGATCAGTCCCAGAAGAAACTCTAAAAGCAAGATAAACTAGCTATCATAGTTTGAGTTAAAGAGTATTTTCTAGTTTTGTTCAATGAAATAACACCAAATTAAATTTTACTGACTGTAGGGTAAAATTGTGAGTCCGGAGAGTTAATTTATGTGATACAGAAGACTTGCCAGAACTGCATGTCGCAGAAAATAAGAAAATATTTGAAGGACGAGAAAAAAGAGATATAACAGTTAAAATATACGATTGGAAAGACTATTGACTATGATGTCCCAATATTGAAATGACTTAAACCATGTAATTAAAGAAGTCAATCTCGTCTAGGAACTGAATCCAAGATCGTATATATATGTTTTGAGAGTGTTAGGTCACAAAAAACTAATTTTTACATGTGTCGCATGTCACATGTGCGCATCCATACGTTCAGTTTGTTGCAGATATACCGTTCCTTAAACCACTGTTCATCTTATCGTCTACACTTCTATAAAGATATAGGTAAAGAAATCTCCATTATATTACACTATAACTTCATTAAATGAGTTCCTAGTAGATAATATGGATATGGAGCATCAAGGTGTAACTTACCATCAGTTGTTCTCTCGGTGTGTCTATATCTTTTATACAATTAACTTTAAGTGTAGCTCTTTCATATTTTCCACCAAAAAATCTCACGTCATAGTTTGACTCTATTACCCTAATAATCTGAAAAAAAAGAACAGATATTTATATATTTATTATGTTATTAGTAGAGACCGGGACAATTGCATATTTGTTGAACATTTTGCAATACTTGACATAATTATGGCACATATTCTACTACATCTGATTATCAAAATAAAATTATTCAGAAAAGGAAACCAATAAATTTTAATAGTTTAGTAATACCGTATAGCTGCCCCAACCCGATAATTAACCAGATATTTTCAAACGTGCACCAAAAAGTTCAATATTTATGAATCTTGCAGACACTATTTGACTTAGGTCATCGATGCGATTCGACTTACAATTGTAGGGAATCCAAAAATAAAAAAACCATCGAAAATTGAAGTACGAGGTATGAGGCTTATTTCTTCATCATGATTGATGTTCCATATTTGGTGATTGGTGTTCTCTATTTTTCCCATTTTTCTCAAAACTTCCGTCATTTGTAACATAAAGTCTAATCCTTTAGTAACCTTGTGGCCTCACAGGAAGCCACAAGTATCTTTAAGAGTAACTTCTTCATTTGGCTCTGTTGCATAAAGGCCGAACCCAGGATCTACCACCTCTACTACGCCAGTGCCTAGTAGAGGTGTACCCTCTACTACGTGGAAGTTGGCACTTCCAGAGGAGATGCGGGGAAGTTTATGTGTGCTCATTAAAAAGACGACACCGTGGGCCATACGCCAATCCAAGCGGATGAAGGTGCCGTCTAAGTCTACAGTGGTCGGCAAGCATACTGACTACCAGAGAGCATCTTCTACGGTCTAGAAGGGGAAGTTGGACTGTAACATTTTTGGATGGCCCCACAACCTGTCTCATACCTCCATAACTATTCCAGGTATCCTGGAACCTCCGCAGAAGAAGCTCTTTGAGACTACCCCGACCAGTACTGAAGGGCACTCCAATCACAGGTTCGGGTACCACAGGCAGAGTGGATGAGCCCTGTCTTGCTGGGACGTCAGCCCGTTCGGCCCCTTCCACGGCTGTGTGTCTCGATATCCATAAAAAGTTAACAGTATTGGTCAGCGCAACATTAGAAAGTGCAATGGAGAACCAGCTTAGCCCTATCTATTATCTCCTGAGCACATACCAGGATTGAAAAGATCTCGGCCTGAAGGAGTGATGCATCGGATCGAGACTTTAGCAAGATTCAAATCTAATCCGCTACCATATACTCTTAGCACCAGCCTGCTCGTCCATTCTGGACCCATCCGTGAACCCGCTTCGACGGATCAGTGCAGGCTCTCGTTCCATCCACTCATCTCGGTCAGGAAATCGAACCAAGAAGGAGGATGAGAACTCAAAAGAACACAAGACAACATTAGAGGACCTGTCTCCAAATGTCACAATCGCCAATCCGCCCATAAATTTCCAACCAGTATCCAGAGCAGTTAGGACGATAAGCTGCCATCATGGATTCTTTGGTCCATACTTCTTGTTCTTCTGCTTGATTAATCATCGAGTGTACCTTGTCATATATGAACGTTTTCTCAATTTTCCTGTAACTTATTTTATTTTTCTTTATATGATAAATAGACAATGCTTAACTAGTAGCTGCTTTATGATCTTATTTACTTTGCAATATTCTGGTTTTTATTGTTTGTTGATCCATGAATTCGAGGATTTCAGTGGTCCTATATTCTATTCCACTGAGCTTGTCAGTTGTTTTCAGATGTTGGCCATGTTTGGTGTTTAATTCATCTTTCAAGTTTACTTCATAGGTTGTTGATTCCATCTTCTTTTCCTTGTTTATCTTAGTTGATGGTACGTTTGATACTTGAGAAAAAAGCCTTGATGCTTTTTTCTTTACTATTTTCGTTGAAATCTTAGATTTTCATTTACGGAGTTATTGTCTGAGCTAATATGCGCATCCGGGTATAAAGCCTACTAAAATCGGATGGTTTGGTAAATTTTTGCCTCAGTAGTATATGGCGCATTTATCGATAGTACATTTTCCTGATTTTGGCAATCATGTTTCGCTGACACTAGTTACTTACCAACTCTTATTTATTTAACTCTTTTTACCATTGAATAAAGTAATTAAAGTGCTAATCACTCTATCTTACATTAAACAAAATTAAAAGTTAAACACTGAACAAAAAATAAACAATTAAAAGTAAAACTGGAACAAAACCATGAAGTGGAGATATCCAGGAGTGGCTAGTATACCTGTTGAATACAAAGCATGTGATGTTCGTGTGTATCAAGGTATAAAAATGCTTATTAAAAGCTTAAAACTTTATTTTAAAGAAGATCTTTTCGGAACTAAATCATTCCATCATCAGTTTACTAAAAGAGATAGTAAAAAAAACCAATATTAAGGTTGATCTTCACCCTCGATTAATTTGTTTCTGATCCTAGAGATGGCTCTACTGCGGCATGCTACTGTATTAAATTTTTTAATTTAATTGTAGATTTCTACATGACGACTCTGTAATATTTTCAAATCCTAACATAAATTGCAGTTTTCTGTCATTATATCAATTGGCTGAGTTGCCAAGTTGTGTAGACAGTAATTCTATCAAATATGCTATAACTTATCTTATATGATAACTAGTAGACCAATTAAGCAAAGATATCTTATAACAACATCTTTATGTATAATACTTTACTGTTCTGCTATGTCAGTCGGAATATAATATACCAAATTCATTCATTATCTAAACAATTTTACGGACAAAAAATGATGTATGTTGCGGCTTTCTTTGTGAATATAATATTACCATTAAGGAAGTATGTTCGCGCCGCAGTTAAAATGAGTGGCATTCAAATAAACTAACGTTTAACAATTCTTTGAGTAGATGGCAGCACGTGCATCATATTCTAATATTTTAATTTTCCCGAGATTTACGTCTATAAACAGCGACATAGTTGCCAGCTTGACCAACTGGGAGTTATAATATATTTATATACGATCGGTGCAGTTCGCTCTCAATTGGCAGTCTTGTTCAATGTAAGTTGATATTGATAACAAGTCTGGCTAATTGGCTCTGCCAAAGTCATATTACACAAAAAAAAAAGTTGATATGAGCTATTAGTCTGCTATTAGTAGAAGTTTCAGAAATTCTTATTTTCGGATTGGATCAATCCATATATTTTTTTAATTTTGTATCATGTGTTGTTATTTACTTACCTTCCAGGTCGCTGTTTTGATTTTGAGTGTTGTTTTTTTAGTTTTATAAAACTAAATGTTTTAGTGTTGAGTTTGTTTAAATTTGAGTGTTGTTTTATTTTAAATAGTGTATACCAGTTTTGTTTCCTAATATTAAGGAAAATAGATAGGTAAGTACCTTTTGCTATAACTCGTGTGTATGAAGTTCATTTGACGATGGTAGCCAAGGGCACCCACAACATTTTTGTTTTATGTCAACATGTGTTTACATAATTATAATATTTAAGTATTAGTTAAATAACGCGATTTTGTTTTATGCTTTTGGTATATCAAAGGTTATCTATTAAATATATGTCAGGTGTGAACAAAATGCCCAGATTAAAGTTCTTTAATAAAAGATGTACCAAGCATAGTCGCACATTGAAAGAAATTTCAATAGTAGCTTGTGGTTCTACAAGTGATAAAGAGAAGTAAGTATCTATATTTATATTTTAATTGTTTTAAAAATGGTCATCATGTGAAAAAGTATTGGCGGTATCATGTAAATTTTGTCTTTTGTTATAAATACTCTGCATAAAAGAATGCAAATTCAGGAACTCATTTTAGATCAATTTAGTGTAAATAACCTCAACCAAAATGCTCAAGTTATTTATGTCTCATTCTGTAAGCAGAAACGTAAAATTGTATTAAGTTTACATGGACTGACAAGATACAGTACGTTAAGTTTCTGATTAGGTATTGCACACTATACGGAGCGCTAAAATCGGCAACGTTGCAAATGTTCGTTCTCCGACCCGAAAATCTACACCGACAGAAAATCATTTATTTTAGTTTAGTAACTCACAACAACGTTAGGGATGTACTTCTCTATCGTCCGATCTCATGTTTCATTACGTAAAGCCGATTTTAATAGTAGGAAATTCGATAAAAATGCACTGAACTAATCGGTGCATTGGTATCGATTTTTATTAATGTGAAAATTTTTTGTGGTTGAATTAAAAATAAAAGCGTATTTCTTTAAAAAGATAAAATAAAAAATATACTCTTATTGAAAATTAAAATATTATTCCTAATAAAATAAAAAATAATTCTTTATGACCTACAGAAATGGTTCAAATAGTTGACCTTCTACGGCTAAACAGTACCCCAATATGTCATAAAAACTTCTGCAAACAGATGAAAGAATTTCTGCTGTAACAGAATGGGAGACTTCTCTTATTCGATTTTTTAATTCATTAAAATTTTGGGCTCTAGCCTCAGGATGAGCGTAGTTAATGCTTTTTAAATGTCCCCAAAAAAAGAAGTCCATGGGTGTAAGATCTGGAGATAGCGCAGGCCACTTAATATCGCCTGTTCCACTGATAACTCGATTCGGGAAAGTATTGTTTAAATACTCCCTAATAATTCGAGCGTTGTGAACTGAACAGCCGTCTTGATGAAACCAAACATTCTCCAGATTTACATCAGGAAGATTGAGAATAGCGGGAAGAACATGATTCTGTAACAAATCGAGGTATACTCTACTATTCATGTTGCCCTCAATAAAAAATGGACCTATTATGTGGTCTCCTAAAATGCCAGTCCAGACGTTAACTTTTTGAGGACGTTGAGTTCGGTAAACAACATTTCTGTGCTGGTTTTCCCGCGCCCAATACCTCGTAATGGAAGGATTGTGTCTCCCTACTAACGAAACAGAAGATTCATCAGTGAATAAAATGTTTTTAATAAAATTTGGTTCACTACCTATTAGCCTTCGTTATTAGAGTTTCACAAAACTCCATTCTTCGAAAGTAATCGTCTGGATAAAGCTGCTGCGTTTTCGAATATTTAAAATTCTTGTAACCGTGCTTTTTCCATACTTTCGTGACAGTAACATTGCTAACATCTA